TTATCATTAAAATCATCTAGTATCATAGTATCACAGAGGATGGATTGTAACGAGTTTCCAAGATCTTGTGTTGCATGCTGTCAAACAAGTTTCTTCCTGTTCACATCTGTATCTACATTTATTTAAGAACTTGCATATTCTTTACAGCAGACACATCAAACATGCAGACCTTTGCAAAAATAACTGTTATTTAATTCATCATCATCATGTGCCCTGCCAACAGGCGTAGGCGCTCATGTGTCTCCACAGATCACGATCCCTGGTTGCCTGGAACAGCTTTCTTGATGATATCCCTCCATGCCATTGTTTTAGCCCTTCCAGCATCATCTCTTTTGGTCTGGCTCTTCCCCTTTTCCCACTGATCTTTCCAGTTGTCATGATGTTCTCTCTTCTCATTTTGTGGCGAATTACTAAAATTATGTGTCGTGTGTGACCTTCATAACAACACCATTGTGACTTTCATGACAAAACCGGTGTGACCTTCATGACAACATCAATGTGACCTTCATGAAAACATCAGGGTGACCTTCATGACAACATCAGTGTGACCTTCATGAAAACATCAGGGTGACCTTCATGACAACATCAGTGTGACCTTCATGAAAACATCAGGGTGACCTTCATGACAACAATGTTTTATATGACCCTCAGGGGACTCTCAGTTGAACATACGTGTTTTAGAGGACTAACCCACCATAGTACTGTTTTACTGCTTGGCTTTACCAGGCCAATTTTACATTCATTAGTCTGCTATTGCTTTCTGAATGTTTGGCTTTTGATTTCATTGTCTAAATCAATTCAAAGCAGTGTGTTGTCGAATTGCCTGCAGCTGGAACCTAACTGGACTGGATCTCTCAGAATTACAAACCATGTTTACAACGTCTTAGCCAGAGCTGCTGACCTACATGTACTACAAAACATAATAACCATCAACTGCCAACCTTAGAATTACAACCTTTGCCACATAAATGTTGAATTAAGAAGCAACATCATAACACTCGGGACACCGCCATAAGCGTTTTGTCTTCATCTTCAGCAGCAAACAAAGCTTTCCATAGACCATACACAAAATACAATTGGCTTTTTCTTTAATACTTAACAAAAAAAAATGTGAAATGCAAAACACCTTGTGTAAAATACAGGCTATGAGCTTTCAAAATATTTAACTAATAACTTTCAACTGTACACATCCAATCTTGTTCTGATTGGATGTTTAACCAATGACTTGTAACTGACAACATCAATCAGCAAGTCCTTTACAGAATGTCGATCTCTTCACGGCACGCCTGAAAGTATCCCTTTCCCTTCCAGCTCTCCAACCCTATGTGCTTTCAATGCCAATGCATCTTTAATGTCCTGTATCCATCTTTGCAGAGGCTGACTCATGACTCAATTTCCACAAACTGCATCCTATCACTGTCTTTTCCAAGCTTTCCAGTGCATGTGATGTGGTAACAATACTTCAACTTTGGGACAGAACGCTGTTTACGAGCCAGTTCTCCTCGATGTTTAACTCATGTAGAATGTTGATGAATTTCCTTTTCTTGATCCGTGGTATTCTTATAATATTTATGTAACGTAAGCTCCAATCTTTCTCTTCAGAGATTGAGTGAGAGTCCAGGCTCCAAACTGTAAGTTTTCACTGGAAAAAATGCATGATCTCCAGATTTTTACTTTAACCAATTTTCTAGTGCTTTGCCATAGGTTCTCCATGCTGTTTAATCTTTGCATTGCTAATGCAAGGCCTCTTCTGACTTCTTTCAAGCAGTCATCATTGTTGTTCACTATAGAGCCCAAGTATTCTAAATCTGCGACATTTTATATTTCTATATTTTTGACTGTGATATGTGGTTGGTGTGCTGTATTTACCGAGGACATGATTTTTGTTCTTTTTTTTTTTTTAAATTCAGAAAAAGATTCACTTCTTTGCTGTGCTTTTTGAAGGCCAGAATTAATTATTCTTAACTTTGTACACTATTGAAAAGGAGAACTGTTTTCTCTGTGTGTTCTCAACTGTGTTACAGTTCTAACTTACACTTTGTAAAAACACAGACATTATTAAACAACTTTTTAACTGGAAAAAAAAAAATGGTTTGGATTCATCCTAAATATTTAACTAATGAATGAAATTGTAAACAAAGAAAAGATGAAAAATGACTGGGAATGCAAGATGCTTTGCTGAGCTGCTGTGGGGAAACAATGAATATAAACTCATATACTGTACCTCACAAACACGGTTGACCGGCTGAACAGAAACCACGACAGCAATAAAATCAGTGTGAATTAATGTAAATTACTTAATGTACACAAGCACACCAGTAAACAAGCACACTAGCCATGCAGGGCCACTTGAGACATTTTGCAACACGTGCAATAGCACAGGGCAGCCCAAAATAAAGGGGGGGGGGGGGGGAGATCAAAATTCTACAACTTTTACTAGTCTGTAAACAAATAGCGATGCTTAAGTTTAGCTGAGGGAAGAGGGTACTTAAAATAAATGACTGCACAGGGGCATCATACATCCTAAATGCAGGCCTGAGTACATGATTATGTCAGTGATAAATATGGTAGGGTTATGAGTTTTCAGGGTGTCACTGAATTATGTCAGTGATATGATAGGGTGTCAGTGAGTTATGTCAGTGATAAATATGGTAGGGCGTTTGAAACTGTGTATCGGTTCTAAGTTTTCAGGGTGTCATTGAGTTATGTCAGTGATATGATAGGGTGTCAGTGAGTTATGTCAGTGATAAATATGGTAGGGCGTTTGAAACTGTGTATGGGTTCTGAGTTTTCAGGGTGTCGTTGAGTTATGTCAGTGATATGATAGGGTGTCAATGAGTTATGTCAGTGATACGCCAGGGTGTGAGTGAGTTATGTCGGTGATATGTCAGGGCATAATTGAGTTACATCAGTGTTATGTCAGGGTGCCATTGAGTTATGTCAGTGATATGTCAGGGTTTTAGTGAGTTATGTCAGTGATATGCCAGGGTGTCAGTGAGTTTTGTCAGTGATATGCCAGGGTGTGTGAGTTATGTCAGCAATATGCCAGGGTGTGTGAGTTATGTCAGTAATATGCCAGGGTGTGTGAGTTATGTCAGTAATATGCCAGGGTGTCAGTGATATGCCAGGGTGTCAGTGAGTTATGTCAGTGATATGCCAGGGTGTCAGTGAGTTTTGTCAGTGATATGCCACAGTGTGAGTGAGTTATGTCAGCAATATGCCAGGGTGTGAGTTTTGTCAGTGATATCCCAGGGTGTGTGAGTTATGTCAGTAATATGCCAGGGTGTCAGTGATATGCCAGGGTGTGTGAGTTATGTCAGTAATATGCTAGGGTGTCAGTGATATGCCAGGGTGTCAGTGAGTTATGTCAGTGATATGCCAGGGTGTCAGTGAGTTATGTCAGTGATATGCCTGGGTGTGAGTGAGTTATGTCAGTGATACGTCAAGGTGTCAGTGAGTTATGTCAGTGATAGTCTAGGGTGTCAGTGAGTTATGTCAGTGATATACCAGGGTTTCAGTGAGTTATGTCAGTCAACGCCAGGGTATGAGTTAGTTATGTCAGTGACATGCCAGGGTGTCAGTGAGTTAGGTCAGTGATATGCCAGGGTTTGAATGAGTTATGTCAGTGTTATGCCAGTGTGTCATTGAGTTATGTCAGTGATATTCTAGGGTGTGAGTGAGTTATGTCAGTGATATACCAGGGTGTGAGTGAGTTATGTCAGTGATATGCCAGGGTGTAAGTGAGCTTTGTCAGTGATTTGCCAGGACAAAAATTTCAAAAGAGAACACACAAGGAATTATTAAATCAAAATAATTTTTTTATTATGAGACAGTATGTTGATCAGATCAGATGTCAGTATGAAAAGTATAAAGAAATATCTTTGTTGTTAAGTTTCCTGTGGGCAATAAGTTAATAGTGAGGTCACCTAGTTGGATATTAAGCCCACGCCATGTCTTTATTATTAATAATAAGAATAATGCTGATCATCCGACTCCTCACTTCAGGATGAGAAAACTCTGAAAAGTAATTTTTTTTTTCTTGGGACATTTCCCTAGCTAAATTTTATTAACTGAGCAACCAATTCAGAAATTATTCTTTCCTGCACTTTACGACAGACCCCCTAAATTAAAAATTATATCTTTCAACAGGGAAAATGAAAACACATCAAAAATATATTTCCCTCCTCTTTAAAATTTTCACAGCTCCGGGGATACCCCACAGAAAATCCTGTGCGATCCAATATGGGGTCAAAATCTATGGTTTCAAAACCCATGTTCTATGGCATACCTGAAAGTGTGGTATGTGTGTGTGTGAGGACACCAGTGATGATTATGCATGCATTTTACATACAGTGAAATATGCAAGTCCCTCTACAGCAGAGGTTCTCAACCTGCCTAATGCCGCGACCCTTTAGTACAGTTCCTCACGCTGTGGTGCACCCCAACCATAAAATCAGTTCATTGCTATTTCATAACTTCAGTGAATATGTATTTTCCTATGGTCTCAGGCGACCCCTGTGAAAGGCTTGATCGACCCCCATAAGGGTCATGACCCTCAGATTGAGAACTGCTGCTGCTGCTCTACAGTGACGTGCCGTGGAAGTGGGGATACAAATGTCACCTTGTACTGGAGAAATCAAAACGACAATACAACTAGATCTGTCAGGCACTCAGTTTCAGTTTGTTACTGAGTTTTTACCTCTTCTACTATTACTTCAGTTCCATCAGCAATGTGTGTGTGTTTGTGTGCGTGCATGCATGGTCAAACACGTGTAAGGATCAGATCTTCTATGTGCTCCTTTAACCGTTATTGAGCAGGTAACAGTCGTATGCGTAGCTGATATGAACAGGTGTGTCAACAGATAGTCAGATACTCATACTTACTGAACTTCTGAAATACTCAGTCAGACGCGAAGACTCTATATGTGTGTGCGTGTAAGCGTGCATGTTCATGTGTGAAGCAACAGAGCAGCAACAATACAATGATTTAGTGCACAAACCTTGGGACTATCCGTCTGTTGTGTTGCTGATATGGTTCTGTTAATGCACAATCCATCGACTGGAGTCCCGTAGCCCTGGTGACATCAAAATAGACAGTATCACCTTCCACATCATCACGAGTCCTTTCAAGTAACAAAGGTGATCATGTTCTTTTCACAAATACCTGTTTGCAGTGTTCTTAACTTTTCTTGTTCTTTGGCAGATTAATCCCGTAGAAAACTGTGTTTGAATTCTCTTAGTTTGATGCAGTGATATACAGGTTATTCTTCTTCTTCTTCACTTCCTCTTTTACCACTTTGAGTATCCAGGTTTGTTGTGAGTGACCATGTCTGGCAGTGGCAGCACAGAGTGAAAATTGTGAAAACCTGTCTTTGTGCTGATCGGGATTGTCTTATGATGTAAACAAAAAATGGGAAAGGGGGGGGGGGGGGGTAGGGCTAGCTGTCCCAATACTTGGTTTGCTTGACTGCCTCTGACGTTAATTCATTCAGTTTTCCATCTTCGGCAAACGTTGTTCCCAGATATTTAACCTCAGATGTCTGTTGAATGCCTTTGCACTGTACCGCTATATTTAGTTTCTGATTGTTTTCTTCCTATGACCTTACTTCTGTCTTTTTTGTGTTGATTCTCATATTATTTGTTTTTACATTCTTTGTTCACAGATGTTAGATGCTGTTGCAATGTCATAGCTGAATGTGTGATCAAGGCTCGGTCCTCAGCAAAGAGTAACTGGTTGACATTACTGTAACTGGTTGACATTACTAACATTTTCATTGCCGAACTTGTCATCCTTGCACATATAGTTGACATAGGTGATCAACGGTGGTGGTGATAAGACAGATCCCTATCTTGCTCCAGATGTTACTGTGAACAGTTTAGATGTTCCCTGATTTATTTTAACTATGCTTCTACACTTTCTTCATAATTTTTTTTGCACACTTCGATGAAATGTTCGCTTGTTCTATTTCACAGTTAAACACTGAAAATTTTGTGGAAGGTGTCAACATTCCGTCTGACTTTACAGCCGGCCAATGTGAAAAAAAAAAGGATGCATTAGGGTACATGCAGACTGACTGCGATGAAGCTGGTGTCCCCTCCATTTGTTTTAGGTATGTTGCTGTCAACTGAATCCAACCAATACCCTAGGGATCTGCTTTTTTTTCCCCTTCAAAATAAATGTTATACCTTCCCTGTCATTCTGTCAACCTGTCTCTATGTTCTTGATAAGTCTGACACTTTCCATGTCATTCTGTCCACCATTCTAGATAAGTTTGACACCTTCTGTGTCATTCTGTCAACCGTTCTTGATAAGTCTGAACATATGTTGACAAAGTCTGCTGTCCCCTGTCCTTAGTCTGAATATAATACACTGCCCATCTCTAGAGAGGCGATGAAGCGAGTCTTCAGGAGAGAATTTTGTGTGTGTGTATCCAGCCATCTGTCTTAGATACTCGATTGTATTTAGTGTCTTAGTATCTTGGTAGGTTAAGTCACTATTTGACTGTACCGTGTCACTGCCGCTTCTGGCCGGTCTGTCCGCTATTTCATTGCCCTGCAAGCCATAGTGACCTGGAATCCATCGCAGTACAGATTGTTCTACTGAAGAGCTTAAGTAAATCAGCTGTTGCATCAAGTCTACAAACTGAGTGTCTTTTGAGTCAGCAATTGCTTGCAAAACTGACAAAGCATCAGTGGGAAAGACCACTCCGTGTCATTCTGTCAACCCGACTTTGACACCTTTGATCTTCAATACTATCACAACCTTTATTGCTAGGATAAGGGGAAAAAGTACATATCAGATTAGAGAGAAGAAACTGGCACTGGAGTGAGAGAAAAAACAAACAAAAAACTACATATTAGAGTAGAAACAAGAAGACTAAAACGCAGAAAAGATTAGAGTATAGAGAAATGACTAACATTAAAGTAGTCAGCAAAGACTGAGACAGGAAAGTCTAAAGTAGAGTAGAGAGAAAATTAAATCTTTAAACTAGAAACAGATAAAGTAAACTCTTAGAACCAAACACCACAAGTTAAGGGAACCAACCTCCGGATCAGGTGGAGGTAGACATGGATGGTGGCTGCGCAAATCTAGTGCATCTATTCTAGTCAGTGAATCCACGGCTGTTCCCAAAGCAGCAGTTTCTTTTATTAGCTCTTCCAGTCCGTCGATATAATCAGGGTTGAAATTTGGAGTCAGTATCTACATGAGACACAAGTTGGGAGTCAGTAGCTACACAACACACACAAGTTGGAAGTCAGCAGATACATGAGACACAAGTTGGAAGTCAGTAGCTACACAACACACACAAGTTGGAAGTCAGCAGATACATGAGACACAAGTTGGGAGTCAGTAGCTACACAACACACACAAGTTGGAAGTCAGCAGATACATGAGACACATAAGTTGGGAGTCAGCAGATACATAAGACACATAAGTTGGGAGTCAGCAGATACATGAGACACATAAGTTGGGAGTCAGCATCTACATGAGACACATAAGTTGGGAGTCAGCAGATACATGAGACACATAAGTTGGGAGTCAGCAGATACATGAGACACATAAGTTGGGAGTCAGCAGATACATGAGACACATAAGCTGGGAGTCAGCAGATACATGAGACACATAAGCTGGGAGTCAGCAGATACATGAGACACATAAGTTGGGAGTCAGCAGATACATGAGACACATAAGCTGGGAGTCAGCAGATACATGAGACACATAAGTTGGGAGTCAGCAGATACATGAGACACATAAGTTGGGAGTCAGCATCTACATGAGACACATAAGTTGGGAGTCAGCAGATACATGAGACACATAAGTTGGGAGTCAGCAGATACATGAGACACATAAGTTGGGAGTCAGCAGATACATGAGACACATAAGCTGGGAGTCAGCAGATACATGAGACACATAAGCTGGGAGTCAGCAGATACATGAGACACATAAGTTGGGAGTCAGCAGATACATGAGACACATAAGTTGGGAGTCAGCAGATACATGAGACACATAAGTTGGGAGTCAGCAGATACATGAGACACATAAGTTGGGAGTCAGCAGATACATGAGACACATAAGCTGGGAGTCAGCAGATACATGAGACACATAAGTTGGGGGTCAGCATCTACATGAGACACACAAGTTGGGAGTCAACACAAGAATAATGAAAGACAATAGTTTCACCACAGATGCAGCCTCACTTATTTGAAAAAAAAATCAAGGACAAAATGACAAGATTTACTCACAGATACACTCTCAAGTGTGGACGACAACTTGTATCGTCAGTTATAAGATCAAGGAGATGACAATACACTGGGCATATCATGAGGAGAAGCACCAAACAGGCACAGCGATGGGAAGAAAAATGGATTAAAGATATTCATGAGAATCCTGAGATTAATGCTGCTGTCAGAGGCAAACGATGCTGGGCTGGATTGTATCCATGATATCGAGAGGACTGCATCGGACAGAAGGGAATGGAGGGCTAGACTTTGAGCCCTATGTGACGTATAAAAGCCCAAAAGGCCTCATCTGTAAACAAACAAAACATGACAAGATTCACACACAGACAGTGTGACAGGGGTGAAAGCTAATAACAAAAACAAAACAAAAAACAAACAAAAAAGAGAAATGACTGACACAAGGATACATTCTCATCTGTTTAAAATGTTGAATGTTGAACAGCACTCAGGACACCCCCATAAGCGCCTCATATCCATCTTCAGCAGCAAGCAAAGAGTTAAAAATCCAATGGTACCAGTAACTGTCTGATTGTATATCCGTCTCGACTTTCCGCTGAGTGTTGAGAGTCAGATCTTCTTGTAACTCCTCGCAGCGCCATTCTTCTCAGACCCTAATGATCTATCTGTGCCTCGGCACTGTTCACTCGCTCCCAAAGGGCCCTCACTACATCCAGCATGTCATACATCAGTTCACCACCAAGTGGTGCAGAACTGGCCAGTCTATCTGCCTGCTCATTTTCCAACACACCGACATGACCTGGAGAAAATATCAAAAGGATGCTAACTACCCGGGACCTTTGAAGTGATGCTTGCCACTCTGCATGGAGCATGCCTGTCTCCACCTTTCTTAACATGCTCTCTGAGTTAGTTACAATGACGGCAGGTGTGCTCATATGTTTAAAAGAAAAAAAAAAAAAACAAGCACAAATAGAGGAATAAAAGATTTACCCAAACAAAACTATTAAAGAAGGAGACGCGACTTACTCGTAGACACAGCCTCATTTGTAGAAAACTATCTGGGTTGCTGGTCTTCATGCGAAACTTCTGGTCCATGACCATGTCCTCGGCAACCAGTAACTGTTTCAACTTGATCACTGTGTGGCCAATCAGTTTCTTGGTCTTGGCATCCACAACCTGTGGCACAGATATCACTGGAGATATAGGGGTCATAATCAGTGGCACAGGAACACAGTGGCACAGGGACACAACTAGTAACACAAAGGGACACAATTAGTAACACAGGGGACACAATTAATAACACAGGGGACACAATTAGTAACACAGGGGGCACCATTAGTGACACAGGGTACACAATTAGTAACACAGGGGACATGATTAGCGATACGAGGGACAGGATTAGTGTCACAAGAGAAACAATTAGTGGCACAGAGGATACAGCTAGTGACATAATTAGCAACGCAGTGGATGCAATCGGTGACACAATTAGTGATACAAGGGACATAATTAATGACACAACAGACACAACTGGTGACCAGGGGACACACAGATGTGCACATACAGAGCAACACAAGTGGGAAGATAAGAATAGACCTACTGTTCTCTAACAAGCATGTCATAAAAGTAGACTATTTAGAGATGTTTCCTTGAAAGTCAGAGTGCATCTGCGTGAAAGGTAAGAAACCAACAGTCTGCATACAAATAAGCTAGACCTGTAAAACATATGTGCAGGCAAAAACTCAGGTTCTGGGACAAGATTAACATAATGTCCAGAAGTTGTCGAACAACCAGAACTTTCTACAGAAGTTTACAGTTGGTGAATGAGAAGAGTAAGAAGATGTTTGTCATAGTAAGCTTTTGCATTTTCCCTTATATTTAGAGTGAATGGATATATTTCAATCACCTAGCAACTGAGTTGAGTGAAACTGCAAGCTGTGGATTTCATTTGCAATGATTCCTGACTGTGCCCAGCATGGTTTGTGTTGTGAGCAGCAGGTCCAGAAAATACTGAATGGCCTGTTGCCAGAAAACTGGTGGTACGCTATGTGGAAAAAGTGCATGTTCACCTACTAATCTGCTGTAACTGCTGCTTCCACTGAGGATGAAGTGTATTTCTAGTACCGGACTGATTGTGTTGGCACTTCTGATGGCTGCTATTGGCTTTGATAAGACTGCAGTCTGGATCATTTTTTTGTCTATAGTAATGGACATTGGATAGTAATGGACATTCTGTGTGGTTTTCACTGGCATAGAAACTGAGCAACTACAGGGTGACCCATTTGATATGCAGCTGGAACTGTGATCATCTGATTATTGAGCAACAGATGAGATGATTTGGCCATCTGATGAGAATGCCCTGGCACCAACTGTCACAGAAAGAAGTATCATGGACACACAGCATGGGGAAGACCCCACAGGGAGATGGAACAATAGCTCTAGGAAAAGACTTAGAGAAATGAAAATAAACTTATACAACACTTAGGAAAGATCATACAGAAGATGCTTACATCTTCCCCCAACACTTTGATGAATTAAGTAGGGTGATAAAGAAGAAGACTGACTGTTGATATAGATGTGTCAGACAACAGTTCGCGCAAGAGAGGAAGATTGGCTGATTGATACAGATGTTTCAAACAACAGGCAAGAAAAAAAAAAAAATGACTGGCTGGTTGATAAAGATGTGCCAGACATAAGGCTGGACAAAAGAAGATAACTGGCTGATTTATAAAGGTGTGCCAGACATAAGGCTGGCCCCAAAAAAAAAGATGATTGGCTGATTGATACAGATGTGCTAGACATAAGGATGGACAAAAGAAGATGATTGGCTGATTGATACAGATGTGCCAGACATAAGGATAGACAAAAGAAGATGATTGGCTGATTGATACAGATGTGCTAGACATAAGGCTGGACAAAAGAAGATGATTGGCTGATTGATACAGATGTGCCAGACATAAGGATAGACAAAAGAAGATGATTGGCTGATTGATACAGATGTGCTAGACATAAGGATAGACAAAAGAAGATGATTGGCTGATTGATACAGATGTGCTAGACATAAGGATGGACAAAAGAAGATGATTGGCTGATTGATACAGATGTACCAGAAATAAGGCTGGACAAAAGAAGATGATTGGCTGATTGATACAGATGTGCCAGACATAAGGATAGACAAAAGAAGATGATTGGCTGATAGAAATAAAGGTGCTAGACAACAGGCTGAGCAAAACAAGATGATTGGCTGATTGACACAGATGTGCCAGGCATAAGGCTGGACAAAAGAAGATGATTGGCTGATTGATATACATGTGCTAGACAACAGGCTGGGCAAAAGAAGATGACTGGCTGATTGATACAAGCAAAAGAAGAAGTGCGTACCTCCACATCTAGGTTCTGGTAGTTAGGGTTGTGCAGCATGAAGCGAAAGTTCTGCTCCCATCGGGGTTCGCTGGTGGTGTACCTGACCATGCTCTCCTCCACCTGCTGGCCCACAGTCATCACCACACGGGCAGACGGCTCACTCATGGACTTCTTGCCTCTCTGTCAGAGCCGGGGACAAATATCAAATGTCATGACATTAAAAGCTGTCTGACGGGACCTAACTTATAGTTTAAGGCTATGAATAAATTACACTTCTAGGCTATGATATAACTAACAGTTCTAGGCTATAACTAACATTTCTAAGCTATGATATAACTAACTGTTCTCGACTATGATATAACTAGGCTATGATATAACTAACAGTTCTAGGCTATGATGTAACTAATAGTTCTAGACTATGATAAAACTAATAGTTCTATGCTATGATATAACTAACAGCTCTAAGCTATGATATAAATAACAGTTCTAGGCTATGATATAACTAACAGTTCTAGGCTATAATATAACTAATAATTATAGGCTATGATATAACAGTTCTAAGCCATAATACAACAGTTCTAGACTATGCTAAAGTTAGGTTTCTGGCTATGATATAAATAACAGTTTTTGGCTATGATAGAACTAACAGTTCTCGGCAATGATATAATTAACAGTTCTAGGCTAGGATACAACTAATAGTTCTAGGCTAAGATATAACTAATAGTTCTCTGCTATGACATAACTAACAGTTCTCGACTATGATATAACTAGGCTATGATATCACTAACAGTTCTAGGCTATGATATAACTAACAGTTCTAGGCTTTGATATAACTAACAGTTCTAGGCTAGGATATAACTAACAGTTCTAGGCTAAGATATAACTAATAGTTCTCTGCTATGATATAACTAACAGTTCTCGACTATGATATAACTAGGCTAGGATAATTAACAGTTCTAGGCTATGATATAAATAACAGTTCTAGGCTATGATATAAATAACACTTCTAGGCTATGATATAACTAACAGTTCTAGGCTATGATATAACTAACAGTTCTCTGCTATGATATAACTAACAGTTCTCGACTATGATATAACTAGGCTATGATATCACTAACAGTTCTAGGCTATGATATAAATAACAGTTCTAGGCTATTATATAAATAACACTTCTAGGCTATGATATAACTAACAGTTCTAGGCTATGATATCACTAACAGTTCTAGGCTATGATATAACTAACAGTTCTCGACTATGATATAACTAGGCTATGATATAACTAACAGTTCTAGGCTATGATATAACTAACAGTTCTCGACTATGATATAACTAGGCTAGGATAATTAACAGTTCTGGGCTATGATTTAAATAACAGTTCTTGGCTATGATATAAATAATACTTCTAGGCTATGATATAACTAACAGTTCTAGGCTATGATATAACTAACAGTTCTAGGCTATGATATAACAGTTCAAAGCCATATTATAGCATTTCTAGACTATGCTAAAACTATGTTTCTGGCTATTATATAATAGTTCTAGGCTAAGATCAAATTAAAAGTTTCAGGCTATGATATAACAGTTTTAGACTATGATAAAACTAACAATTTTAGGCTTTGATATAACAGTTCTAGGCTATGATAAAACTAACAATTTTAGGCTATGATATAACAGTTTTAGGCTATGATAAAACTAACAATTTTAGGCTATGATATAACAGTTCTAGACTATGATAAAACTAACAGTTTCAGGCAATAATAAAACAGTTCTAAGCTATGATACAAACAAATAACACTGAAATAACAAACTTGCACTAAAATAATTTAAAAAATTACTGAAATAACAATGAACACTCAGATGAAAAGCGTCACAAAAAGACACAAAATTAACAAAACAAACAACAGATAAACAAACAAGTAACTCAAACTGTGGCGTACACAGTATGCTAGTGAGCACTTTTTGGGAGACACGACGGCAACCTAAGATAATTGAGATCCAGAATCAAGTATATGTGAGTCACTAGCAACCGTCAATGTAGACAAAGAAATAGAAACATAGATAAATCTGGATTCAAAATAACGGAGGAGAGGCACAGAAGAGCACAGAATAAAGAAGCAAGGAGTAAGAGAAATACAAGGCTTAGAAAGAATGGTGAAGAAGTAGAGAATAAGATGGAAAACAAAATAATGAGATGAAAACAGAACGAAGCAACAGCCAGAAAAACAAGGATTAGACTGAGTGGTGAAACAAACAGAGACGACCATTTAAATAAATAAAGAAAAGGAAAGAAAGAAAAAACAGAATGAAAGAACTAGTGGAGAAATAAATATAGGAGCCACAGAGGGAATGAGAGACAGAAAGAAATAATACAAAACAAATAAAATTAATGTCATTTTCTTGTTCTTAGAATAAGTTTTTGGCACAATCCCATCTGTCCAGGTGATAATGTGTTATACTTCGTTGTTGGGATTGGGGGGGGGGGGGGGGGGGAGAGAAGAGATGGGAAACACAGCCCATGAAGACGGCCAGTGTGGCTACAATCATCATCATTGAACTATTACCATGCTCAATCAATCAATCAATCAGGTGCCCAGTGTGGCTACAATCATCATCATTGAACTATTACCATGCTCAATCAATCAATCAGGTGCCCAGTGTGGATACAATCATCATCATTGAACTATTACCATGCTCAATCAATCAATCAATCAATCAATCAATCAGGTGCCATCTGAAGGTTGGCTGCAATGGATCTCCAACATGCTCTGTCTCTTGTCCTGTTTGTACACTTTCTCAGACTGCTGTTTGTCCATCTCTTGATGTTGTCCTCCCACCTGTAACATTGCCTACCTCTTGTTCTCTTGCCTTTGAATTTTCTCTCCAGTATGGTTTTTAAAAGTGTGTTATATGTCTTTTAATATGGCCACAGTTGTCCCTTTTACTAAAAATTTCTTTCAGTGATTCTTTTTTTTTCATTCCTTTCCAGAACCTCTGATTTGATTGTTTTTGTTTCCATAAAATACAACCTATTCTTCCGCATATCCATATTTCCAGAGACTCAATTTTTCCTAGCTGCCTGATCATTATCTAAGTTTCTGCACCACGCAGCAGGATTAAGTACACACATTTGACGATTCTCATTTTTAATGTGTTGCTTACCTCTCTAGATGTTGCTCAATATTTTTTTTATCTAAAAGACAGTTTGGGCCATTTCTATTATCTTTTTGATTTCTGTTTCACTTCTGCCAACATATGTTACCTTGTGTCCAAGTGTTTGAGAAACCTGTGACGTTTCCTATAGCAAACTGTTCACCCTCAATATCTGCCTACATCACACAGACAGAAGCTGGCACATCGTGCAGGAGACAAGAAACCAAACCCACTGATGTTTAACAGGTACGCTAGGAGTAAACATCCGCACAGAGAGAAGCTGGCACATCCTGCAGGAGACAAGAAACCAGACAAACTGCCATTTAACAAGTACGCTGGGAGTGAACACCAGCACAGACAGAAGCTTTCAATTCCTGCAGGAGACAAGAAACCAGACCCACTGATGTTTAACAAGTACGCTGGGAGTAGATATCCGCACAGAAAGACACAAGCAGTACAATGAACACACAAAAAGTCTTGTCAGCCAGCCTAGAACTAGCATTATTAACTGTGGGATACTGGTGTAAATCAATGTGTTGAGCCAAAATTGTGGATATCACAGCCTAGCTGTAAACCATAACATTTTAAGTGGGGGAAAAAGGGGGGGGGGGTTGGTGCAGAAAAAGAGAGAGTGACAAGAATGATACTGAAACAGAATATAGCATCCAGAGACTGACAGGGTCAAGAAGCAGGTGTGTGCCACTTACCGGCAGGTTCTTGGCTGAGTCCAGGTAGAGCAACAGAATGGCAACATGAACAATGTCCTCATCAATGAGATCCTCGATCACCTGTTCCATTACCTGCAATAATAAGCCACAGGGGACTACAGCAGGCTCCACACATCCACAGGTACTACAACAGGATACACACATACACACATGAAAACAGCAGACTCCACACACACACCACATGAAAACAGCAGACTCCACACATCTACAGGTGACTACAGCAGGATACACACATGAAAACAGCAAGCTCCACACATACACAGATGACTACAGCAGGATACGCACGTGAAAACAGCAGGCTCCACACATGCACATGTGACTACAGCAGGATACACACATACATACATGAAAACAGCAAGCTCCACACATACACACATGAAAACAGCAGGCTCCACACATACACAGGTGACTAGAGCAGGATCCACACATCCACACGTGAAAACAGCAGGCTCCACACATGCACATGTGAGAACAGCCCGGTCCACACATCCAAATGTGAAAACAGCTAGACATATACATCCAAATGTGAGAACAACTGGGTTCACACATTCACATGCATGAACAGCTGGGCCAACACATCTACATGTGAGAACAGCTAGGGCCCATACATCCACAGCTGGGTCCACACATCCACATGTGAGAACATCTGGGTCCACACATTCATATGCATGAACAGCTGGGCCCACACATCTACATGTGAGAACAGCTCGGTCTACACATCCACATGTGAGAACAGCTGGGTCCACACATTTACTTGTCAGAACAGCTGGGCCCACATATCCACATGTGAGAACAGCTAGGGCCCATACATCCACAGCTGGGTCCACACATCCACATGTGAGAGCAGCTAGGACCACACATCCACAGGTGAAAACAGCAGGCTCCACACATCCACATATGAGAACAGCTGGGCGCACACATCCATAGCTGGGCCCACACATCCACATGCAGCACACACACACCTGCTCATACATCCTCATGCATACTCACTGACATAAGTCGCACAAACAATTTCACCATCTTTGAGATCCCTGATCACCTTTCTCACCACTAGCAACCAGCACACACAAGCACATATGTGACAGACTAATGCAGAAAGTTCAAAGAACCAAGCAGTGAGTAATAACTTAAGCAATGCCAACTTTTTGAAAATATAAGATGACAGACTGAGAAAGCCTAGAGTCAGTTTTATTTGAAAGTATTTGCTACATTTTATCAATATCCTTAAAACTGTTCCTACTTTTTTTTAAACTTGCATCTGAATTTCCATTTTGAGCGAGCATAAAAATATGAATGTTAGCTCAGATAGTAATGACAATGGAAGCCTGCACAACAGCTTTGTAAACAAACTGAACAATGTAAACAATATTACAGCATTGATATAATGGACACAGAATTTTACTTGTGATGAAATATAATGTATTAAGTAGTTTGTGTTTGTGTGTGTGTGTGTGCGCGCATTTTTTTTAAAAAACAAATGTAGTGGTTTTTTGGTGTGTTTTGGTACCTTTTGAAAAAAAAACCTTTTGGTACTATTCACAAAAAAAATTTATGGCAGCCCTGTCTGCAACACCCCCTCCAGCCCAACCCTGTCTACAAAACCCCCTCCAGCCCAACCCTGTTTACAACACCCCCTCCAGCACACCCCTGTCTACAACACCCCCTCCAGCCTAACCCTGTCTAAAACATTCCCTCCAGCCAACCCCTGTCCACAACACCCCTGTTTACAACACCCCCTCCAGCCCACCCCTGTCTAAAACAACCCCCTCCAGCCCAGCCTCTTCCACATGGACTCAATCTCACAGGCGTACCAGGAAATGTCCTGTCAGCCAGTCTGTTGTTGACCCTGCACCCACTGTTCTATCTCAACAAAGCTCCAGCACCATATGCCTGACTAGCTAATGATGTGAAAAGTTTTCCTCACTTTAAAAAAAACCAACCAAATATATTTACATATAAATTCCATGTCCAACAAAAATGGCAATGTGAAATTTATTGACAAAGGAAAAGTGACATAAATGGTAAATAAAAATCATGAGAAAAAAGCTGGAATCAAGCAGGGGTAGCATACATAAGCCAAGGCAAATAAAAGGACTCTTGTGAGGTATTCTGGGTCCATAGTGATAGCAATTCCCTCATGTTTATACAATAAGTGGCAACTTATAGGTGCTGAGGGCAGCTGCCTTTGCTTGCATTGGCATTTACAGATTCTAAATTAAGGCTGGATAAAACCGGGAGCCCAGGTCCAATTTCAGAAGACTTCTGCCTGGAAAGGTGTTTGAAAACATGACCACCATATTTTTATGGATCGTTTCTTTTCTAGTGACCCCAAGGGCCTGTAATGCTAGACCAACTGGCAACTTGGCGGGGTCAACATCTCTGCCTTCACTTTTCTCAGGGCCGTACCTGGTACCCCTGGGTTGGCTCTGTCGACCTCGGAGCCAAGGTCATTTGTGACTCAGTATTTACCAAACATGAAATAAACACAACCTGGCAACTTGTATTTTAAGCATGAAATAACACATCAGGCAAACACATAATTTGGCAACTAAATATTTCAAAATGTGTTGTGAGGGAGGAGGCACACCCAGTCCCACTTAGCAAGCATGTTGTAAAAGGCCACCAATTTAGGATTTGTTGAAACTGGATGTGTTTCAGAGAAACCACAGATATCGCAGCGTAGCTATAAATCACAACACAAAATACCAGCATATACAAAAGCATTTCAGCTGGGAAAGACAAATCTTAAACCAGCTAGGCTGACTGACAGAACTAAACAGTTAGATCTTTTCTCTGCTATTCACAAAACTGGACACAGATACAGAAATCTTCATTAAACTAGTAATAGCTAAATAAATCTTGGCTTCACTAAACTGGTCATAGCTGTAGAAATCTTTACTAAACTGGTTATAGCTGAATATAGCTATAGAAATCATGGTTTTGCTTAATTGGTTATAGCCATAGAAATCCTAGTTTCACCATCTGGAAAATTAGCTGGACTATTTAGTGGAAAAAAAAAAAAAAAGAAGGAAAACACAGGATGAAATAAAACAAATTAAAATTTCACTAGAACTGCCCCCACCCCGTCTCAATAATGTTCACACTTGGGGTCTCTTCAGGAAATGGTCACAAACTGTGTGCCCCATGTTCCGAAGGTCATGGATTCATTTCATGGACTGCGTTGGTGGGGAGATCCTTTGGGATTATTGTTGAAGCTAAGGAGTTCGTGCTCTGTGTGCAGATGTCAGCAGACAGCCAACCATTCTGCAGAAAGTGACAGAGACATATGGGATAAACCCCAGTACAAGGGAGTCTATCCTCTCAGATATAAATAGGAATAAACTCACAGGGAGCAAGTACAGCAGGGATCTACCAGTCGTCAGTAGAAATTATCCTCGTCGACACGCGTTTCGGCCCATGATTCCTAGACGCATTCGGAGGTGGGCCCTCCTGAGTTAATGAAGCTCAGGGCTGGTTCCCTGCTGCACGGGATTACCGGATGGTGTTTTACTTTCGGCCAGAGACAAGACGACTTGGTGGTTTCGCAGAAGGTACTGTGAGATAAGAAGCCGCCTCGGCAGCCTAATTAAAGCAGTCAGCACGCCTGGACGACCGAGCGACAAGCTTACTTTGGTTTACCGGACACATGTTGGACTTTTATTTATCTGTACCCTGACGACTCAGAAACTACCACAGGAGTAGTAGTTTTGCGACGGCGTTTACTGCGTGGAGCACCCTCGCATTTCATTCTTCCGGCATGCGTTCTCAGACCATGCAACCCCGTGAAGCTTTTCCCACATGTACAAAGCCAGCCCGGACGTTGGGCGAGTATCTGAGTCTGGGGGCTAGCAAAGTCATCACCGAGAGTATCAATTGGATTGGGCCCTTCATTCTCCCCCCCTTTCGGAGGGCCCTGGGGGCATATTTCATTGTGGTCGTACGAAATTGGAGGTATTATACTGTGTTAGGGGTGATCAACCCGGTCCACAGTCGACATCTGTCTCCAGATGTCAGTTTATCCCCCCGGCGATACCGGGGGGCCAGTCTTTCCATAGGTGTCAAAAGGTCTTTCCCGATAGTCACCAGTCTTTCCTGGTAGTCTTGTGGGCTAGCCACGTACAATAGGAATAAACTCACAGGGAGCAAGTACAGCAGGGATCTACCAGTTGTCAGTAGAAATTATCCTTGTCGACACGCGTTTCGGCCCACGATTCCTAGACGCATTCGGAGGTGGGCCCTCCTGAGTTCATGAAGCTCAGGGCTGGTTCCCTGCTGCACGGGATTACCGGATGGTGTTTTACTTTCGGCCAGAGACAAGACGACTTGGTGGTTTCGCAGAAGGTACTGTGAGATAAGAAGCCGCCGCGGCAGCCTAATTAAAGCAGTCAGCATGCCTGGACGACCGAGCGACAAGCTTACTTTGGTTTACCGGACACATGTTGGACTTAAATAATAAATAATAATTACCTCAGGTAAAATGTTACAAGCATCTGCTGGCTGACACAATATTACTTTACTGCCCTTATGACCTGCCAAGTTCTCCTCCCCTCACAGTAAACTCAACATTCTTCAACAACCAAACCTCAAAAATCTCCAGCCTTCAATCAGTTTATTCTTCTTCTTTGTGTTCACCAGCAATAAACTCCTGGTGGAAAGTTATGGTTGCCTGTCTAACTGAATTTTTGTCTTTCTCCAGAACCTAAGTGTTGCATGCACATTTATTTTATAGATCTGTCTTATTTGTATGCAGACTGTGGGTTCCTTGCCTCTCAGGCAGATGCACTACAACTTTGAAGGAAGCTTCCGAGTAGTCGACATGCCTGTTGGGGAGGCAGTAAGTCTGTTCATGTTTTCCCCACAATGCGGCCCTGGAACCCATCTGGGCAACGCTGTTTCAATGATAAGACAAAAGATGCATTGTAAAAACTGGAGTATTTACAATTTTCATTGAAATGAAGAACAAAGGGCTCAATAAAAAAGCCCATCAACTTAAAGGCTAAGTGTTTACAAATGACCAAGTGCAGACAAGAAATGTGCTGTACAGATATGAGACTTCACACCATGCCTACATCAAAGTGTCCACACTTATACTGTGCTTACTAAGGTGCAAAGTCACAGGTGGCTTATAATTTTTAAAATGTGTAACCAAACAACAATTGTTTTAAAGCCCAATAGGCAAATAGTCCAAACTGTCAATACGAATGAACTTACCAGATGTTTTCAAAAATGAGGGAGCAGTTGCAGAAGGAGAGTCATGCCGATCCCAATGCAAATAGATTAAAGAAAACATTCGTTTGGTTTGGTCACTTGTCAGTTAGCTACAGAAGATAACACCTTAAAGGCACACAATGTATTCATCAACACTTATAGAAAGAAGTAACTGATCGTGCATCATAGTTCACTTGTTTCCATAGCAAGCCCACAAGCCATTTGGAGTTGACAGGTTTGATTCCAGCCATAGTTACTATACCTTTCGGTTTTTATGTTGTCTAGTGTGTCCTTCTATATTTCTATTTCTTTCTATGAGTGCCGATAAATACATTGTCTGTTGGTTTAGACAATTAGTAGTACATCCTAAATAAACTGTGTCCAGGCAGCTGGCACACAAGGGTCATGCTGGGCCGCAAGGATGTCAATCATGTTCAGTATGTAAGCACACAGTTTACATGGTAAATATTCTCTAAGCATGTTAATTTTAAGATGAAGTAAAACTAACATATAATGACAAGGTAAGCAGTTAGTCACAAATCACAGAAATACACAGTTAGTATGTTAATGACACAGATTAGAAACATACAATGTTAGTATGTTTATCAAACATACCACAAACATACAAAGTTAGTAGTTTATCACACAAGCCTACACACTACAGCCTACACCAGCTGTAAGCACTACCATCAGAAAATACATGCTCTACAGAACTAGCCTGCCACAAGCAGAGGCGCACAAAAATACACTTACACATTACACCAGGTCTGAAAATTAAAACATGGATTACATCAACTGCTGCAAATGCTGGAAACATAGAATGTCAAATTAGTTGTTATCTCATCACAAGCTCTTTACAGAGCATCATATATCCAAATTGTCCTATGCTTTGCTATCGCATGCAGATCCCCCCAATGTCATCCCTATCTTTTTAAAGTTCTTACATTCCAGGTGCCAATTTAGGAAAAAAATTTGGGTGAAAGAAGTATTTAATGTTCTGTGTTCACTACAGCAGTGTTAGATCCCTGCCTCTTCTCCAAGAACTATACCTTCCACTACTGCATTGTCTAAACCACAGTGATGTTTAGTTTGGCCAAACTATTTCAGTTTCTGAGAAATGCTGTGGTTACTTGCGGCTCCAGAATTACTATTTACAATCATCCATATGAGCAGACCACTGTAAAGCAAAAAACAACACCATATTTGGGTTTCCAGAGAATAAAGTGTTATGACATGCTGACAAAGAGATGGTTATATAAGAGTGGAAAGAAAAGCCTAAACAGAAAACACAGAACAATGCTAGGGAGTCAATGTGTCTGCATGCAATCACTTATACAGAAGACAAGACAGGAGGAATTGGTAACAGACTGTACAAGATGGAGATGTGCCAGAAACATCTTTAAACGGATATAAAGTCTTCTTAAATCAAGCAGCCAGGAGGATGACAAACTGAACTAGCTAGAGATGTGTCAAAGACATCTGTGAACTCATATATTGTCTTTGTAGATGAGTGGCACTGGTAGCACAACTGCCAGATGCTTGCTTGTTGCAAGAACAGATCTTGTTAAGTATAGGACAACCCCCCCCCCCCCCCCCCCCCCCCCCCCCCCCCCCCCATGAGTTTACTGGGTGAAAGAAGCTATCCTTAAACTCTCAAAACAATCAATGCTTGACTAATGATGTGGTCATTTTTTTTGGGTGGTAATTCTTAGCATTCATTGGCTTAAAGTCTCCATTAGCCATCGGATGTTGGGGTTCATAATGAGGGGAGGATCTGAGCACCTGTGGACATGTCCAGAGTGCAATGATGATAACCCAGCTAACTAACTAATCTCCATGGGAAAGGCTACCTCCCATTTCTGGCCTTTTATCTTGTTCCAGGAGTTTTACATCCACATCCATTTCACAAAGCTGGTTGACCTATATGTAGACTGCTGGCTCCTTGCCTCTCAAACAGATTCACTTCAACTTTGAAGCAAGCCTCCTTAAATAGTCATGTTCTACAACATGATTTGGGGGGGGGGGGGGGGGGGAGGTGAAGCGGGAGGCGCAGCAGGGAAGTTAAATATAAAAATTTTTTTCTTCCAGCAGTATAATTCTCTACCTGCCCTGATGCTGTGAGGTATTCCAGGGGTAGAGACAAGAACACAGAAAGAAGCAAGCTGTGAGGTATTCCAGGGGTAGAGACAAGAACATAGAAAGAAGAAAGCTGTGAGGTATTCCAGGGGTAGAGACAAGAACACAGAAAGAAGAAAGCTGTGAGGTATTCCAGGGGTAGAGACAAGAACACAGAAAGAAGAAAGCTGTGAGGTATTTCAGGGGTAGAGACAAGAACACAGAAAGAAGCAAGCTGTGAGGTATTCCAGGGGTAGAGACAAGAACACAGAAAGAAGCAAGCTGTGAGGTATTCCAGGGGTAGAGACAAGAACACAGAAAGAATCAAGCTGTGAAGATTCATCATAAGAAGTGTCCTAAGTGCAGTCCCTTCTGTCTCTCTTCAACTATGATATACACTTCTGAAGGCAGCATATCAGCTCTCTCAATTTCACACACACCTGCCTGACCTAGACAATAGACCCACATGAAATCCTCAAGATGACAGTCCCCAAGGTGGCAGTACCAATCACTGGTGGGTCATGTTTTCATACACCATCTCTGAGTGCACATCAACGCCTGACCTGGACAAAAGATCCATATAAGATCCTCAAGATGACAATATACCAATCACTGGAGAGTCCTGTTTTCATACAACATCTCTGAGTGCACATCAGTACTTGTGTATGCATGTCTCATGCTCATTCTAAACATTCAAACTCCAGAAAAGAAAACAATTGATCTCTGCTGCTAAATGGTAATACAAAGTTAAAACAAAAAACTCACCCGATCCAATTCATTTGCCTGATTGGCCAACCAAAGCCAAGTTAACTGGACGTGGATCATACCACTTTTAACATCCTCCAGCGGAAACCACTAAGAGAGAACAAACAACAAGAGTTCACAGCCCTGCTGTCAACACGACTGGCTGACAGTCATCAGAGAAACAATGTACCATTAAACATTGACATTAAATCATTTACAGGTCACAGGATGTGATAAATTCTATGATGAATACTACATTAACTCAACTCAGCAAGTTTAATCATGAGAATGGTGACAATAATTTAAAAACAAAATTTTCAAAAAGCAGAAGTGCATTCGTTTTAATTTGATTGAGAAGGCTAGTCTATGTTTAGTCCTACAGCTTGTGTGCTCACTCCACCCAGGCGTTGTGGTGAAGCAGACAGGCACAGTCTGGGCATGTGTGCAGTCAATCGTTGATGCTCCATTCTGTGGTGAAGGAAGATGATCTATCCCTGCCAGTCAAGAGCTTGGATTATGCCCAATTAGCTGCTTTTTCTTTTCTTCTTAACTCTTTAAGGCCCAACAATTTTGACAGACTTGGCCCAAATTAATTTTCCTTTACAAAAAGGGCAGAGGGGTGGGTGCACAAGAAAGGCTATAGAGATTGTAATATACTTCTAATCCCTATAAAAGTATATATTTTTTAAAAGAGAAATGAATGTACATTTTGAATCTGATTATAAGTGTTTGTTTAATTTTGTTATAGTTAGTGGGAAAGAAGAATTCAGCAGGTGTTAATTTCACAAGGACAACATTTCACACAAAAATTCTTAACTTACCATGGTTTTGCAGCCACAAGAGTAGTAAATATCCAAATTTGAGAACAAAACTTCAAAGTTTGTTCCATTTCCTAATATATTCTAAAGTTATAACAACTTTCTGGGTTAGTTTAGCACTCAGGAGCTCTTAATTCTCACAGAGTGCTGAGCAAAATTTCAGAGAAAAAATGGCAGAAAAATAAGCCATTACACACACACTATTTACTATTTACTTTGTACAGTTATTTACAGACTGTAGCTGCGATGATTTTAGTGTAGCTTAGCCATAGTATAGTACTGTCTCTTTGTTTAAAGCACTTTCCTTCTCTTACACCATAAATATGGTAGTATGGGACATTGTCTGTGTAATAAACTCATCAGAATCGCTGGATTCCAAACAGCTGATCGCTCAACTGGTGAAACTTCACCGTCCGAATCACTTTCCGAAAAATCTAAATTTTAATTATCATTATAACAATTAAGAACATCTGACTGAAACTATTTCAGAGCTTCGGCCGCAGAAAGACGCATTCTGC